AACCTCACTTCTTCAGATGCAAGTGCATCTGAAGAAGTGAGGTTCTTACCCACGAAAGCTTATGCTCCCAATACTTCTGTTAGTCTCAAAGGTGCCACAGGACCCTCTGTTGCTTTTTACCCTCAATCTTGGTCCTGATTCTGATCCTGCTTTCGGCAGTTTTACAAATGGAGTGGATCCTGATTCACAACAGGCCCAACGGGGGGCAGGAGCACATGAGAAATGGAAAAAAGGTCACACGAACCCCAATGACCCAAACCCTAGGTGTTTCACACAACTCTTTATCCTCGTCACAAGGACACGCTGGGCCAGGTTCTCTGGTAGATTCCAGCTATTTTGCACCACTCCAGTGACACAAAGGAGTCCCACATCCAGTTGAACTGGCCAGATTGGCACAGAACAGCTGGTGTACACTGGTGAATCTGGACCTTGGATACACATAGGCACAAAAGGATGGGTTGGGCCAGACCCTCAGCTGGTGTAAATCAACATCCCTCCTCGCTGAGGTTTTGGGCCAAAATTCTGATCTCACTTATCCCAGCATAAATCCAGGTGACACAGCTGACTTCAATAGATTTACGCAGGTGAAGATGAAATCAGAATTTGCTCCAAAACCTCATCCTTAAATCTGAATGTCCTTGTTTTTTGGGGGTTCAAAGTCAGACCTTGAATATTAAGTGACTATAACTTAATGGGCTTTAGTATAAAATACTTCATGCATGCTCCATGGCAAGAATGAAGGAAGTACTGTACAGATCCAACCACAGAGACAATCCGTTTACTGTACATAGCTATATTGGGCTTGGGAAGAGTTCCTGGGTACTATGCACGCCTTTTAGATCATTGTATTTATGACTAATACAACAGAGAGCATGGTTTGGATTTCCCATTTAAAAATCATTTGATAATATGTTCCTTATTGCATCACTGTTATATCTCTTTCTTTGTAAGACTGAAAAGAAAAAAAAACACATCAATCATTAAGATCAAAGTTGCAGGAAGCCATGGGTCACTTGAACAACGATCACTCACATTTCAATATGAAAGAAGTGTTTTGGAATCACCGAAGGGATCGTTTATGTCCAGCAATTGACCTCAAGACACCACAATCAGCGATAAATGCTTGAACATTTTCCCTATGGAATGTGTTTGCCGTTTGTAGGAAAGCTTGTTCTTTTTTAAAAAAAAAGATAAAACCTTCTGCTATATTATGGCCTTGCTCCCCCACAATATAACACTCTTGGAGAGTTTCACAAGAAGAGACGGCAGCAATACTTCAATGTGCTTTACAAATACGGAAAGATTCATTCCACTTGGATTTTTGTTTGTTTTTTTAACAGGAGGTGTCTCCGAGCTTCCAATTCCACGTGTTTTGAGGAAAAACCCAAGTGAATTGTAACGTTAAAAATAAAAAAAAAGAGAGAGGAGAAGGAAATGCAAGGAGCAGTAGAGTCAGTTGGCGTATTGTGCATAGAAAGCAACTTTTACTCGCTCGATCTGGTGACACAACTTGATGGCTGGGCCAAGTTTCAGCTCCATGCATTCTTGCACTGTTGGGAGCGTCAGTAGCAGGAGTGCTTGGCCGTCAATGTCCTAGGGAAAGAAGAGAGAACGAGAAGTTGCTGTGTTCAGACCACTACGCAGAACTTGAAAACGTGGAACAGTCGGTTTTGCTTTAGGGCTGGTCAAAGCAGGATTGACGTTCTGGGAGAGGAAGGCGTCTAGCTACACGGCAGCAGCAGCATATTAGTATGTATGATTTATCTTACATCTAGAGGTTCCAACTGAGATCAGAGCCCCACAGAGCTCAGTGCTGTCGAGACAGTTCCTGCCCCATACACCTTACACTCTAAATCGACGTGGATGAGAAAGAGGAAATACTATCCCCATTGTACAGGTGGGGAAGCAGGCCCCAGAGAGAGGCCTTAGGTCAGACAGGACATGTGAGGCAGAGCAGGGAACTGACTGCAGAATTTCAGAGTCCTATTCCTTAACCACAACGCCATACTTCCTCTCTATGCTGCGTTGGCCCCTGACCTGGAAGGAAAATCTCTAAGGAGTAGAGGGCAGTTCAAAGCATGCCCCGTTCAGTCTTTGGCTTCCCCTGCTACTAACAAAAGTGCTAATTCTGATCTGGCCACTGGAAACCAATTTAGGCCACTCGTGCACTGATGCCACTGTTTATGGATTGCTGATCACTACGTTCTCATTCCCTCATCGGTCTGTCTTATCCACCTGTTGTCTTTAGTCTTATACTTAGATTGTAAACTCTTTGGGGCAGGGACTGTATTTTTGCTCTGTGTTTGTACAGCTCTTAGCATATCCACTTCTGGTTCATGAGTAGGGCTCCCAGGCTCTCTGATATATATAATAATTAATAATAAAATAACTCATTTCACACAGGCCACTGAACCGCCATCAGATGGCAATCATTTTCAGACACAACCAATGGGGTTTGGCTTTGAACGGCAAGTGAAAGATTCCTATAGTTCTTCACTGGTTCCCTTAGCTGCTCAGTGCCCCAAATGAAATAGATTTTATAACCATTATCTCCTGGTTTCCTCCTTGGTTCCGCTGGTTAATTAAGAGTTGAAGTCTTTAAGAAAAACAAAAACCGACCAGATTTAAAAGCCAACAAGCAGAATCTGAACATATGATCACAGGGGAAAAATAAAGAAGTCAAACTGCAGTCAAAGAAATTCACAATGTAGACAACACAGTAAAGGTCAGAAACAGCACAAACTAATTGTGTCCACAACTAGATTATTTACCATCCTCTGGACTTCTAAACACAGATGATACATGTACATGGTAAGCACTCTTCTGATCACAAACACCTACTCATGTTTTTTTTATATTTCAACTCAATGAACAGGCACATTACTAGGGGCCCCCAGGTCTTGCAGATAAGTAGAGCCAAAGCATTGCTCACGTGCAGTTAGTTGAAGATCGATCCCATAGCACTTTAGGCAAGAGGAAAGGGGTTAGCTTTGGTGTCTTGACAACATTCCAGTCTGGTTAATATCTGATTTCATAGACTCGTAGGGCAGAAGGGACCATTGTGATCATCTAATCTGACCTGCAGAGAACCTCTCCAAAATAATTTCTAGAGCATATCTTGAGATATCATTGACTAGAGATTCCCCTCTTGAGCATGAATTCGATAGCAGTGGATGTTATTCATTAGTGGAGGAGGGACTATTTCTATCTATCTAGGGCCCATTGAAAGGCACTATTAGCTTGATGACAGCAGTTCTCAGCTCCTGCAGATTTAATTGCCTTTAATTGGAAGCGTTAAGAACATCTTAAAATCAGGACACGTTTTTAGGAGCCTGCCTATGGATTTTGGTGCCTAATGTCAGTCAGACAATTTCGACCTAGCTCGAAGCCATCCACTGATTCAGAATCTGGGTCTTCTGCGTCCTGGTCCAGTGCTTAATCTAATTATGGTAGCTAGGGTGACATTCACACTTGTGTCATCAGACATCCTACGTACCATTTAAGTGCCACCTAAGCCCGATTTTAGGGGTGCAAGTGATGCATGGGCCTCGTACTGACTCTGACAAGGGTGAATTTCACCCTTAATGAACAAGGAAGATCTGTTCTTCACCCTTTTCATAAAGGCTCAGTTGCACTTTCCTGTGCTGTGAATAAACACCATTAATACAGTGTCTGCACCCAGAGAGAGGTAAGATGCGGCAGCATACCTGTTCCTGAAATATTTTGGCTAGGGGAGCGCAGTCTGTCAATTTAATAAACCTCACAACGTCAGTCACTGTCCACTCCAATGGATTGCTGTCGAGGATGAGTTTCTCTTCCTCTTCTTGCTTTATTTCCTGCAAGAGCCAAAACACTTGTAAAGAAAAGGTTACAGTGCCCAGAATGACTCATCTGTAGATCATGTGGCACTCTCTGCAGATGATTAACACTTGATACAGAAGGTTACATCAATGGAAAAAATATTGCCATTAATTGGGAGCTAAGTAGTCCACCAATATACTCACTTCCTTGACTTGAGTGCACTTCTCTCCTTCAGGGTACGAGAGACACTGTGTTTTGCGTCCCCTTCTAGCTCTCTCGATGGGAGCGGGTCTGTCTGACTCCGTGGTGCTCCGTAATGTCACTGATCTTCTTGGTCGGGCTGAAGGTACCTCAGCAGAGGAGGTGTCAGTCTGGTCATCACGTAGCTCTGAGCTTGTTTCTTCGCTCCCTGTCTCATCTTCCATAGCATCTGGCTCCTCCTCTTCGCTTTCCTAGAGCGAGATCGTCATGGAAACATTATGACATAGGGATTAACATGAGGTCACATCCTACTCTCATTTACAGTAGTGTCAAACCAGAGTCACACCACTGACTTCAGCTGAATTACACCCCTATATATGCCACAGTGTCATACCATTTAGACCCCCAAGTTTAGGTTCGGTTACAAAACCTAGTATTAAAATGATTTTGTAGTCCTATTTTTTTTAAATGTCAATGAAAACAGGTTTTCGTTTCAGTGTGAATGTTCCTCTGCTGTGCTTGCAACTCTAACATTGCAATCTTGTGCTAAGGCATGAGAACTGGGAAGTGAAACTGACTAGAAAAAAAAATGAAACTGACTAGTTTTGTTTTCATTGTCCAAGCTGAGAGAAGGTAAAAAGCAAATTAGACGTTAAAGCATTCTTCTTTTGAAGTCCTCAAAGTGATGGAAAAATGTACCACATCCTTTGATAATCTACTCCAATGATTAATTACCCTGACTGTTAAAAAAAGAAGCACTAAAGCTTGTCAAAAATGTTTCGTTTCAAGTTTTTTACTGGAAAATACCATTTTCACTGAAACGGAAACATTTAGAAAAATGTGTCAATTTTGATAAAATTTTGTTTAGGCAATAAAAACTGAAACAAAGCATTTTGATGATGTTGAAATGTCCCACTTTCATATTTTCAGAATGGAATATTTAGATTTTTCATTTCAAAATGACGTTTCCAAATGATATTCATTGTTTTGATGTAAAAAAAAAAAAAGGTTAAAGTTTTTTAAAAAGTGAAAAATTGGAAATGTTTTTATTTTATCCAAAGGAAACATTTTGATCGATCGGACACAGAGTTTTTTTCAGAATTTCCTTTAGTGGGAAATTGACGTGTTCCGATTATCATTCCATTTTGGAATGGAAAAAAATTAAAATGTGGAGAATTTCCTGCAAAACAGAAAATCCAGCTCCTCATTAGTTCTGATAAGCACAGTATTTCCAAATTGGTAACTCTACAATGTCCCTCATAAACAAAAAATGCTGGACACTGAACACATATATGTAAATGCACACAACAGATGAAATGCTGCTCAGAATTTGAGCTTCAGTAAGTGTCAGTGCATCGTTTTGACCACATTTGGGTTTTCTTAATGAGAAATCAGAATTTGACCAAGGATGATTATACTTTAATCCTGCCATCATTTGCAAACATTCAAGCCCATTAACTTGGAAGGGCTTGAGTGGGTATTAAGGCTGCCCAGTTTGTCTTGTCTTACATTTTATGGTTTTGTCTGTTACCAGAAATCATATTGCACACGTGAACTGAGTTAATAATGACTATTAACTGCACCGTTCAGGGGCACACAAATCTTACCCCTCCAAGGGTAAATGTACACAGCAAAAACTGTGCATGGGCTAGCCTACCTGAGCGGGATTGAATCCAGCCATTGTGGGAACAATATCGGCGAAGACGGAGCCGCATGGGTCTCAGGGCACGTTGTACAACCCTGGCATGAACCCTGAGTACATACTTGGCTCACTAGCGCACTTTGAAGCCCACGCTTTGCTGTCTTCATTACTATGGTTACCCGTGCTAGCTGGAGTTAAGCTAGCTCGGACAGGTTAGCCTGTGTGCAGCTTTTGCTGTGTAGACAAACCCTAAACATCACCCAGCCTCGCCACTTTCTTCCACTTCATAGAATCATAGACTTTAAAGTCAGAAGGGACCATTATGATCATCTAGTCTGACCTCCTGCACAACGCAGGCCACAGAATCTCACCCAGCCACTCCTGTATCAAACCTGTGTCTGAGCCATTGAAGTCCTCAAATCATGGTTTAAAGACTTCAAGGTGCAGAGAATCTTCCATTTATCTCACTTGCTTAGGGTATGATCCAAAGGTCATTGGAGATAGTGTAAAGGCTCCCATTGACTTCAGTGTGTCTTGGATCCACACCTGATTTTGATGCGTGTATGATTTGGGCCCAAGTCCCACTAACACTTGCTCCTTGTCTACACTCAAAGGGTTTTCAGCTATAACTATACTGGTATAGCTATGCTGGCAAACCCTCCTAGTGGAGAAACAGCTTAGATGGCAAAAGAATGCTTTTGTAGATATCCAGTAGAACCTCAGAGTTACGAACCCCAGAGTTACAAACTGACCAGTCAACCTCACACCTCATTTGGAACTGGAAGTGGGCAATCAGGCAGCAGAGAGAAAAAAATAAAAGGCAAATACAGTACAGTACTACTAAAAATAATAAAGGGAAAGTAGAAACAAAGATTTGACAAGGTAAGGAAACTGTTTCTGTGCTTATTTCGTTTAAATTACGATGGTTAAAAGCAGCATTTTTCTTCTGCATAGTAAAGTCTCAAAGCGGTTTGAAGTCAATGTTTAGTTGTAATCTTTTGAAAGAACAACCAGAACGATTTGTTCAGAGTTACGAACATTTCAGAGCTACGAAAAACCTCCCTTCCTGAGGTGTTCGTAACTCACAGGTTCTACTATAGCTTATAACAGTTACCTGAATGAAATGAGCAAAAGGCCTTTTTTGCCAGTATAACTATGTCTACACTAGGGGTTTTGCCAGCAAAGCTCTGCCGGTTAGAAGCGGGATTTTTTTTCACACTCCTAACCACCATAGCTATGTCAGGAAAGCTTTTAAGTTTAGACCAGGCCTTAATAGATGCTTAACTTTACCCATGAATAATGCCATTGGATTCACATGGTCTACTCATGTGTGAAAAGTTAAGAATGTGGCTAAGGGCTTGTCCACACGTGTTGTTGCATTGGTTTAACTTCAGGTGTTATTTCAAACAAACTTAGTTAAACTGGTTGCAAAGGTTGGGTGGACACTTATTTCTGTTCAAGAGTCCTTTATCTGGGTTTAGGTTAAGTTGACTACACACGTTTAAGCTAAACCAAAATAAGTCACTTTTAAACAGAAATAAGAGTATCCACATGGGACCAGTTTAACAGCACCAGTTCACGCAGGTGTGTAGACAAGGCCTACATCTCTGTAGGATTGAGGCCACAGAATGTAGAGTCGTTGGGACAGTCTCATCTTTCACTTGTTCTGTAAAGCACCTAGAACAATTTTAAGTGCTGTGAACTTAACATATTAAGCAATAAGTAATGAATAGAGTACTGGAACCCATGCTGACTCAAGTGTGACTTATAAATGTCCTTTCCGCATCTAGCACTTGTATTGCAGTACTGTCTCGGAGCGCTAGTCATGGCCCAGGACCCCACTGTGCTAGGAGCTGTACAAACACAAACAAAAAGACAGCCCTTGCTCCAAAAAGCTTACAATCTAAGTAGAAGACAAGAGACAACGCATGGATACGGACAGACAGATCACGGAGCACAAGGAAACAATGAACATGCCAGCTGCTTAACTAGTGTCAAACTTTTGTAGGCATCACAGCAAAGCAGAGCTTCAAGGAGAGATGTGAAGGAGGACAATGGCTTTCAGGATATTTATGGGGAGCTCCTCCCAAAGGTGAAGGGCAGCCCTAGGGTGCTTGTTGAAAATTTATATTTCCAAAAAGCAATGTCATGTGCTGAGCACCGTTCTATAGCATGGCGAATGAGCACAGTCCAACGTGTACCTCTGCAGATCCCACAGCGTTAAAATCGACAGCTGACGACCTCCTTTTCTTCTGCACAAAAATGGATTTCCGCCTCTTTCTGCGTCTTGCTGGTTTGATGTGTCCACTTTTCATGTTGTTATTTTCCCCAATTGGAGGCTTAATGATTTTTTTCCTCTTCCCATAATAATAGGCTGGAGCAAAACATACAGTAAAAACATAACCACAAAGAAAATTAAGCTTTTGCTTGTTTTATGCTATCGATCCAATGTAAAACACCACTACTTCACAGCAGCTTTCATAGGGAACTATAAAGAAATCTTGATTGTCAGATAATATCCCAAGGAAGAATGAAATACCTGATGCTATCTTGGCCTATTGTCACAAAATGGGCAAAACTATTATAATTTAGACATCTATTCATACATATTTATTCACTATAGCTTAAATCCTGAAGTCCTTACTTAATACTTAGGCAAAACTTTTGCTGTACAGGCTGAGAATTTTGCCTGAGTAAGAACTGAGTAAGAATTCTGATCTGTTGCACCACAATAAATCTGGAGAGTATCTGCAGCGTTGCCCTGGATTTATATCTGGGTAGCGGAGGCTCCAGTTGGGTCAGATCTGAAGTTCATAGCATGAAAATTACAGGCCCAACTTTCAAAAGTGCGGAGAGTCTGCAGCTGCCATCTGCTTCAATGGGAGCTTCCGGCATGCAGCTAGGGTGACCAGACAGCAAGTGTGAAAAATCAGGACGGGGGTGGGGGGTAATAGGAGCCTATATAAGAAAAAGACCCCAAAATCGAGACTGTCCCTATAAAATCAGGACATCTGGTCACCCTACTCAGCTCTTCTGAATATCATGGCCAAAGTATTCGTTGAGTCAATGCAGCAAAGATCTGACTTCTGTTGACTTCAGTGGGCTTTGGCTCGGGTCCTAAAAGAATAAATATTTCTCTATATAACGACTAGTCCCAAACTGCATATTAACTGTATCTAGAGACACAGGGCCTGATTCTCCCCTCACTGTGCTGTCAGTCAGGAGTGACTCATTTGAAATCAATAACATTATACTAGTGTAAAATTCGTGTGAGAGGAGGCTGTAACCCAATTCTACCTTCAGGACCTGATTCAGCAGTCAATTGCTGTTCAGCAAAGTTGACTTCAGGGAGGCGTAAGCATGTGCTTAACTTTAAGTGAGACCCTTCCTGAATAAGGATGCACTTGAGTGCTCAGTTGGAGCGTCTGCTACCCAGACGTAAATCCAGGGCAGTGCCATAGATTTTGGCAGACACACTCCAGATTTCTAGTGGTGCAACAGATCAGAATTTGACTTATTAGCAATGAGTAATGTGGTCCAAAGAAATTACTCCTTTAAAAGTTAAGCAAAATACAGCCTATGCAAGATCACCACCAACTAGATGTTGGTGCATATTAGTGAAAGTAAACACCTGATACTGCAGAGGTTAAAAGAACAAAGAATGGCAAATAGTGCAGTAACCAACCCAGATCATCTTCTAAGGATGCATACCACAGGATTTTTCTGACAGCGTGGCGTGTACATGCACACACAGCACACGTATAAATAGCAGTGCAGATGATGAGGCTGGAAAGACACACCTGAGGGGTGTGGGTATGTACCTGGACCTGCACCATGTGTGCGAGATCACGCCAGCAGGGGTGGGGTGGCACGCTCTTCAAAATGCCCCCTCCCCGGGTGGTGTGACCTCACGTGAGGTCATGCTGGTGGGGACAGGGTCATGCGGGCAGGGGGAGGCCCACGGCTTTCCCGGAATGCCCGGTATTCTGGGAATGGCGTGAGTGGCCACCCTACTGCTGCGGCGGAAGGCCTTCCCCGGCTCGGGAAAAGATTCCAGCAGCAGGGAAAAGGAGCCCTTCTCTTCCACAGGGAAAGGCTGGAGCCCTTCTGCTCCACAGGGAAGGGCAGCTTCTCCAGCAGAGCCTTTCACTGACACCGGTAGCTACACAGTGCAGGGTGGACGCAGCCTGCTTTTCACTGCAGCCTGTAGCTGTACATATACTCCACTCTGCCGAAAGTGGTGTGTTGTTTACACGTAGCCTTAATGTAACAGGTGGCCTGAGTTGGAAAATATTAGATCAGGGATCGGCAACTTTTGGCACACGGCCCGCCAGGGTAAGCCCCCGGGCCAGGCCGGTTCGTTTACCTGCTGCGTCTGCAGGTTCGGCCGGTCGTGGCTCCCACTGGCCGCGCTTTGCCACTCCAGGCCAATGGGGGCTGTGGGAAGCGGTGGCTAGCACATCCCTCGGACCGCGGCCAGTGAGAGCTGCAATCAGACGAACCTGCGGACGCAGCAGGTAAACAAACAGGCCTGGCCCGCCATGGGGCTTACCCTGGAGGGCTGCAGGCCAAAGGTTGCCAATCCCTGTATTGGATACTCCAACTGGCATCCTTTTATAGACAGAGAAAACGTAAAGAGTCCATGGGAAAAAAGCGAACCCAGTGGCAGGCCAAGCAAAGATCCTTGGGGAATGAAGTTGGAGGGAGGCTCTAAAATGGAGACCATGGAGGACTGGGTATGTGACCTCCCCTGTACATATTCCACTGTGGGTCTGTCTGGCTTGGTGCAGAGTGACCTGGTGAGTGCTCAGTTCCCTGTGCTAGAGAGAGGAGGCCTAAGGTGCTGAGCACCAATCAGAGAGCTCAGCCCAAAGGACCTGCTGCATTTTGCTGCATTAGCGTTACTATCTGCAATATCTTATGCTACAGGTCAGAAAGAAAGGTATCAAATTAAGTTTATTTTTATAACTATATCATGAACATCCTCCCGCCGCTCTGATTCCTTTCTAGCGACAGAGCAATCCTTTAGCTGATACTCACTGTATTTCGTTTTGGTATGAACGGAGCAGTTCTCAGGGCAGACTTCGGCGACCAGCACAGGGCTAAACAAATTTGGACAGCACTCCAATTTTGCACAGACTCTTCTGCAGAAATCTGCCACTTGATCAGACGTTCGCACAATCTTGACTGTTGCCCTGTACGTTTTCCCTCTGTATCTAGGAAAGAATATTGCAAGATCACACATAACTAATGAAGTGAGAACAGGGGATGCTATAAACCCAGTCCTGCCCTCTATTACATAGATGCTCCTCTCACTAACTTCAAGGGGGGAGGGATAGATCAGTGGTTTGAGCATTGGCCTCCTAAATCCAGGGTTGTGAGTTCAATCCTTGAGGGGGCCACTTAGGGATCTGGGGCAAAATCAGTACTTGGTCCTACTAGTGAAGGCAGGGGGCTGGATTCAATGACCTTTCAAGGTCCCTTCCAGTTCTAGGAGATAGGATATCTCCATTAATTTTTGGGAGGGATAGCTCAGCGGTTTGCGCATTGGCCTGCTAAACCCAGGGTTGTGAGTTCAATCCTTGAGGATTTGGGGATTTAGTTGGTCCTACTTTGAGCAGGGGGTTGGACTAGATGACCTCCTGAGGTCCTTTCCAACCCTGATATTCTATGAATGTATTGAAGGGCAGAATTAAGAAATACCGGTTGTAACAACTGTATTTCAGATACACTAAAATGAGAATAGGCAGCATGCAGTAAAGCTGGCGGAGGAGGTTGCAGTACTCAAGGTCAGAGAGACCACAGGGTGGAAAAGGTTTTGAGCTGTGGGTTTAGGGAGGAAAGGGCATTGGAAGACTGGCTAGTTGGGGAGAAGGCAAGAGAGAAGAGAGTCCAAGATGACAGCAAGGTCACAACTGTGGGAGCTGTCAATGGGATGCTGTATTGCATTGCATTTTATTCTATGGTTCTGCACCTGCCCAGTCTGCAGACCCTTGGGCTCAGGATTACGATCTCTGCCTGGCATGCTGACCGGCCATAAAAAGCCGTGAGCACTATGGACTTACGATTGTACAGTTGCAAGCACAGGGTGGCTTGCTGAAGAAATGTCAATTCATGGGCCTAGCTGAGACCTGCTTCACAAGCCTCCTCCAAGTGGGTAGGTGCTCTCTGGGGTCACCTGTCTTTTAGGGGGGCCAGCACTGAACAAGATTCTAGAGTAGTAGCCACAGCATGCAGAGATTGCTCCTGCTGGACCTCTGTCTGAGACCATCCATTTCTGCTTTAACCTGGAAGCTCTATCTTCCAAGGGGTTTTCCCTCTGAGTCACCATTTGCCTGGGTGGTAGGTCCCCTGTTTAGTGACACCACATCATTTCTCTTTTTACTATGATGGGTTTGACTTTGTTTATTTTCTGGTGTTCTTCATTGTGCCGGAATTTAAACGGCTGGTTCAGCACCTGAGGGGCCTGTCCCAAAACCCACTAAAGTCAATGGGAATCTTTCCAATGACTTCACGAGCCTTAGGGTCAGGCCCCCAAAGATCTAGATCCTTGACGATATTTAGGCACCTAACTCCCATTGGAACCACTGGAGTTGGGCACCTAAATCCCTTTGAGAATCTGGGCCTAGGCACTTTGCTGTGAGTGGAGAAAAGTAAATGTTAGAAGAAAAATTCAGCTCTCAGATCTGTGCAGTGGACTTTGACTCCAGTATTCTCCTCTTCTTCTCTAGGATCTGACCCAAAGCCCATTGAAGACCACGGGAGCCTTTCCATTCATTTCGTTGGGCTTTGGTTGAGGCCTAAGTGCCTGGAATTCCTAGGGGAATATTCGGAGCTCAGATTTATAAGGCAGTGGTTAGCCCAAAATCATGTGCTATTAAATCTTTTGTTATGGTGTTTTATACAGAGCATTTTTGAGAGAAAAATGGCTGAAGGAAGGTAGAGTTTCATACCTTGTGTGATATACCGGAGCGGTGAACTTTGAAAAACCACGTATCCACATAATTTATTAAATGGCAGCATAAAAGCTAGTGTAAACAGCGAGATACCGGTTTTTAAAGCACATCTTACACATTGTGCATAATGCCAGCAAGAGAGACACGTGAGCAGGGGTAGGCAACCTATGGCACGCGTGCCCAAGGCGGCACACGAGTTGATTTTCAGTGGCACTCACACTGCCTGGGTCCTAGCCACCAGTCCGGGGGGGTCTCTGCATTAACTTTAATTTTAAATGAAGCTTCTTAAACATTTTAAAACCAGTATTTACTTCACATACAACAATAGTTTAGTTCTATATTATAGACTCATAGAAAAAGACCTTCTAAAAACGTTAAAATGTATTACTGGCACACAAAACCTTAAATAAATGAAGACTTCTGAAAGGTTGCTGACCCCTGCACTTGAGCAAATGCATGGTAGAGCAGTGGTTTGGTACTATAAATATGCGCAGAGGAGAGAAAAGTAGAAAGAGCTCGCTGGACTGGAACTGAAGAAGAGCAAAGATACTGTAGCCAAGATGCATGGGAGAAGGGACGCAGGCAGCATGTGTGACAGCAGCACTGAGGCCAGGAGCTCTTGAACAGGAGGGCAGATGCTACCAGACAGACTTGGACCAAGGCAAAGAAAGAAGAGTGGGATGTGGAACAAAGGAGAGATGACCAGACAGATGTGAGGAGAGGCATCCTTAAATGACCTGTCACTCTAAGACTGAAAGTTATGCCATAACTCAGAGGGTAACTGTTAAAGCTTAACTTCCTTCTTTAGTCCAACCATCACAATCCTGTTCTGGAAATGTGGAGGTGCTTTACAATGAGTATGGAGATATATACCTATCTCCTAGAACTGGAAGGGACGCTGAAAGGTCATTGAGTCCAGCCCCCTGCCTTCACTAGCAGGACCAAGTACTGATTTGGCCTCAGATCCTTAAGTGGCCCGCCCCCCTCAAGCTCACAACCCTAGGTTTAGCAGGCCAATGCTCAAACCACTGAGCTATCCCTCCCTGAACCTCAAGACCATTGCAAGTTATCAGTGTCTGTGATGCTCAGAGGCCTTTATTCAATGGCAACTTAGGCGGAAAACTAAATATGATCTGAACGTTGTTTTTACAAAACCACAAGTGATCAAGGGTCAGCAAGGTGCAAATGATACTGCCCATTACTACGCTGACTGCAAACAGTGCTAGGGTATAATTAGCAATCACACAATGCTTTACAGTCACTGTACTTTAGGTACCTAATTCCCTCTGAATTCAATGGGAGTTAGTGCCTGAATACCTTTAAAAATCTGGTCCTATCTCATGAGTATTCCCATGTGTTTTCAAATGATCTGATTGTTTATGAGTCGAGAGAGACTCCAATAGGCGTGCTGTACAAAATGGAAAAAACGCTCCCTTTCCCCTCCCAAGAGGTAAGAGAACATTACTGTCCCACTGCACAGATGGCATGACTGCCGGGAGAGCAGAGAAAGTCATAGTTAAAATGGGTTCTACAAAACCTAATATGAACAGAAATGATTATATAGGAAATAACACCAACAGAAACCAGTCCTGTCTAGGGGACAAATCCTTCCACCTTTAATTCATAGATGCATAGACTTTAAGGCCAGAAGGGACGATCAGATCATCTAGTCTGATCTTCTGTGTAACTCGGGCCAGAGAATTTCATCCAGTTACATCTGCACTGAGCTGCAATAACTTGTGCTTAGCTAAAGCATCTTTTCCGGAAAAGCGTGATTTGAAGACATCAAGTGATGGAGAATCCACCACTTCTCTTGGCACTTTGTTCCAATGGTTAATAACCCTGTTAAAAGGTTGTATCTTATTTTTAATTGGAATATATTTGGATTTAACTTCCAGCCATTGGTTCTTGTTGTACCTTTTCCCACTGGGTTAAATAGCCCTTTAGCATCTGGTATTTTCTCCTTGTGAAGGTACTTCTAGTGCTCAAACGAAGTTACCTCTTGATCAGTAGCATAGTCAAGGGTAAACATCAGATAAACTGAGTTAATCCACTTCTCACTGGGCGAATAGGGAGTTTAGGTTACTTCACCCACTTCTTTTTCTATTGCTACACCACTGCTCCACATCTTCTTTTTCACAAACTAAACAGTTTGAGCTCAAAGTCCTACATGCACCATTTAACGTGAGTAAGAATGGCAGAATCTCAACCTTAAATGTGTACTATGCCCTGTGGTGCTGTGATCCCGAAGAGGACAGCATTGTACTACAGGGCCTGCAAAAGCAAAAGGTGGAACTAACAAGAAGGGGAAAAAAAGCAGACCACATTGTTCAGGTGAGATACAAAGAATGAAGAACCAGCATGGATGGGGAAACACAAATGTGAGTTTTATAATTAAATTTGTCTCGGTGAATCAAGTTATTAGTGGCTACAGGTATGGAATATAATTTTAAACATGATTCTGGTCTTGGCAGTATCTCTGTAAGCTGTAAAACAAGATTTACTAATATTTTCCATACATACCACTCTTTAAACCTTTTAACACTAAAGTCATTAATGTAATCTGAACTACTCTCTGACAGCCTCAGGAAAAGACCTACGCTGGCTACAATTAGAAAACCATTTTTCCATTAGTGTCATTAAAATATTACTGTTATTGATATTATATTTTCCATCATGATAAGAATCTCATTTTGCCAGCTACTTTTAAGTAATAAGCATCCTGCACTAATAACCTGGGAGCACTATAAGACTTTAAAATTCAGTAATATCAACTGTAGCGCAAAGCTCAGTTGAACAATTTTGCTTTTCTAATTACATGTTTTACATCTAAAGCCAAAGGAAAAAGAATCTTCAAAGATCCCTACAGTAATGACCCATATAGGAGAATTTACTAGGAAAAACAAGCTAAGGCATCCTCCAAGACATGAAAAGCCTAGTGCTAAATAGATATTTCAAACAGCAGGAGCTCTCAACAGTCCTCAAAGCACTTAACCGTTTCAGAATTCAGCCAATAGTCCCACTGGTCATTGGGGCTATTTTGAATAGTCAACTGACTAGCGAACTTGAATTTCCTTCAACAGTTCTTGGACTCTGCCCCTTTCCTCAGCAAGGAACTCACTGCTTACCTCACTGAAAAGAATAAACAATTGTATATGAGGGAGTGTCTTGCAGACACAAAGTATGCACCACAAACACCCCAGGCCAACCCCCACCATCCCTAAGAGAAACCGCAGCTCTCACAAATACAGTACTAGAGG